TATTTGCAAATTGCGAAGTATTTAGTGGTGATTTTCGTTTTCCTCTCCAAAACCCCACCAGGGTCATGACGCTATATGCTCATGACGACAGGTGTAAAGCTCAAGAGGAAAACTTAGATAAGATTCCACTTACCTACAGCAGTATCTTTTGCAATGCTACAGATCTGCAGATCCAAAAAGCAGGAAATTCAAAAAGTTGGCAGCAAGTGGCGAGAATAGGATATGGCATACAATCCTCGATTGTAGTAAGAACAGAAGAGCAACTAGTGAGAATGGTCACGACCAGAAGTAGCCGGAGGATTTCAACTGATGAGCATACAATACTGGGCGCGCTCCAATGATTTGCATTCATATGCCCACGCGCGGGAAAAAATGTTCAAACTGCAGAACCTTCCACTAAATAAACGCGTTCAGGCGACAGTGTGTTCTCGACAGGCGAGAATACGACAGGTCACTTAAATTTGATTATGTATGCCAGCTTTCGATCCATCCAACTTTCATTCAACAACTTCCTCTTTGCATAGATGGTATTGTGTTCGTGCCTGCTCAATAAACTTCGTCTCTCTTTGACTCATAAGGTTTAAACAAATATTCCCGAGTTTTCGTGAACTTTCGCGCTCCGAGGCTAATAGTGATCGGAGCGGGGCATTCGAGTCGTCCACGTTTTGCGGTAAAGATTCCTCCACAGTGAGGGTCTCTTTCGTTCTAACTTTTTTCTCTAGATGATGTTGTATGGTTTTCACTCCTGCTGAGTTCACGATGGATGCGCCCTCAAGTTCGAAGGCTACCAAGTTGGTCAAGCGCAAACTAATGCAGAAAAACAAAAAAGTGGGTTTTCAAGATGTGTTGTTGTTGAAGAAAGGTTAAAAATGTGACTACACAGTTCTCCGTTTTTTTTTTGCATTGTTCACGCTTTTTGCGTAGCGCGGAAAGGAAACCGAACACAGCGTATTGTATGTAACGTGTAGGTTCTCCCTGAACACATTTTTGATGAAAAAATAACTCGCAGAAAAGAGCAACTCCCCTTGCAGTACTTCTTATCCTCTTCTAACAGCCCACAGAGCACCCTCGACTTTTGTGTCAAAGGACTTATCCATAAGATGAATGTGTTAAGGCCAAGAAAAGGAAACGAGAGCGTACTTCTCAGTTGGACGTGAATGGTTTCCACTCAACTAACCTATGTGCCAGCAACAACGTCAATGAGGAATTAGCAATTAGTGGTTAGTGGATCAAAACCTTGAATCCAGCGACCATTTTCACTTTGGTTCATTGATGTATTATTTTTTTGACTCCTAAAAAGAAGGTAAAGGGTTGAGCAGTGTTCCTTTTTGCAGTTGTATTAGAGCTCTCCATGTTTCAGGACAGAACTGTTTCGTTTAGACACTTTTTTACAGCTAGCTTAAAAGCTTCTTATCTTTAAACTAGTTTTTCAAGCAGTTTCGTTGTATATGGAACTATGCCTCTCATGTGTTAAGCTGAAATGAGAATGCTACGCCCTTCAATTTTTTTTGTGGTCCCGAGAAAGAAGAGTTTACTGACTTACTGCTCATTATTCATTCTTTTGCAAGAGCTCTCAGGTCTTTTTCCGAATCTGATCTGAGTTGCAACGTCGTCACCCCATGGAAGTCTGATCGTTATTTTGTTTACGCCTTGATTACCTGAAAGTGCAATCAAGCTTACTAGGACATCCGCCCCTGACAGTCTGCTTCTTAAAGAATGTACCTCAAAAATAGGTGAATATGTATCGATAGGAAGATAGGAAAAATCGTATCCTTCCATCAACCGTATGAAGTAGACAGATCTTTTTTTGCTGGCCAGTCGGCTCCAAATTCGCACACGGTAACATTACCCTGTACCGTACAATTTTGATGTTTTTAACGTGTTTTGAAAATGGTTCAAGATTATCTAAAGCAGTGTTACTCCTCTTTTTCCACTGGAAAATGTTCTTTGTTATTCCTATTTCCTTTTCAGCTACCAGTGATGAAATTTCTGATTCTGAAGATTTACTGAAGGATGATATCGGGCAGCACCTCGATTTTGACATTGAAGCTTTTCCCATGGAAGAAGGAGATCGTGACGGGGTCACAAATATGTTGACACAGGTAGTTTCCACATTTTCTTGTCTTATGGCCAAGTATAACACGAGACACATTTTCAGATTTTTTTGAAGGCTGACATTGACCTAGGTTCATTAGCCGATCACCTTATAGCACAAAGTCCTTTTGGTTTGGTGATTGGGGTAAGAGCCTTTGCAAGTTTCCTAGCTTCAATGCTTTGCACTTATTTCGAGTAATATACTTTTATGAGGTTGAAAGAGATGCTAATTGTCTTATTTGGATGAGAAAGTTACGGTTTTCATGGCTTTCACATTTGCCTACTTCTAGCCAGCGGAAGACCAAAGCGATGAAGATGACGCAAATGTTGTATACGGACTTTTATCTGTTGCAAGACTTTTTCCTATAAAAGTAAGCGCCTTTAATGAATAATTATGAAAGCACTGAAAAGACTTTCGAGAAATCTCTTGTTCAGGATGACGCTTCGAAATACGCTAAGGATGTGATGGAGTTTATTGAAAAAAAGTCACGAAAGTTTGCCTCGAAAGAATTCCGTCAAGTTTTCGAGGCAGCCAAACCTAAATGCGTTGGACTCTTCGTTAACGAAAGAATGCTCAATTTTCCTCCTCGGATAGTGACTCCATCATTCAAAAGCATAAAGTATGTTCTCACAGCTCTCAATTCGTAAAGGTGGTTTCGCATTCACTTGGTGATATCCATATTTTGGTATCGCATTTCGCTGTGTCCATTTTAGGGCAGACTTGCAAACCAGGAAACAGCCATATCAGAAGATTGTTTATATTCACAAACTACGGGTTGCAGACAGCCCATCGTCGACTAAAGTCTCACACGAAAAAATTCCGAAGATGAAAAGGAAAATTGGGAAGGCTCAGAAGGTTTGTGTTCTTTTTGTTGTGATGGATTTTTTCTTATCGGTATGTAGGGACTAGATCAGGTACAAAGATGCAAAGTTTGGGAATTCTATCAGGAGGAAAATCTGAGGAACTGTGATTATTACCATTAGTTCAGCTTCCCTCCATGAGTTCCCGTTTTCTGGCGTAGTTGACGTTTTTATCAACTGATATGTTGAAGTAAAGACCGAAATCATTTCTGATCGAGCATTCAGAGGCGCAGTTCACGAAATCGGTTCCTCATATTTCACCCTAGGATAGACCTATGACCACAAGCATAGCACGAAGGACCCTTTCAGGTTGAAAACAGTTGAGAAGGCTTAGAAAAGGTCTCATGCTTGGCTAAACTGACATGCACACCAGTAGGCGAACGAGTTCTCACGGCGTTGTAGGGACTGTTGAGGTTGCACCATTTGCACCGAAATGTAAGTGTTGCACGCTGGCAGAATACTGAAATAAGCTGTTTGCGATGGCCCACACATTTGGGCAGCTCGTCTAAATACCCTTTACATGCAACTTTTATAGTCTTACTCTCATCAAATCCCTACTTTTGCTACATTTTGTAGCCTCCTATGTCTCTGAATACGTAGGTTTTCTCGATATCCTCGTCACTTTTGCGCTATTCGGGGCTACCACTTCTATTATCCGTCTAAAACTAAGTACCCTGGAATTATCGTGATTTTTGCCTTTGAGTTCACCTTTCACGATAATTTTGAGGTATCCTTTTTGAATTGAATGGTAGATGCTATGGTGCAGACTAGTGAAACTGTGGCAAAGCTAGCGCGAAAATTGTTGGATTAAAAAATATAATGCTCAAAGTATTCCTCATTTAAGTGTACTATTGGTCTCGTCCTGTGATTAGAGCATAGCATCAAGAACAAGGCCGAAATAATACGACCATTCGAGTGTTTGCGTCGGCCAAACTAGTTTTGAAGCCCTTATTACGCCCTGATCTGCCCGCTTTTCGGCCTATCAAAGACTCATGTGCTATTCTTGTGGACCACGGATTCATTCTCTCAAACAATCTCAGAAACCACTTTGGCACGGGACCGCCTTTAAGGGAAAGTTTCGGGTTACATCTTTACTTAAAAACTGTGACGGTTTTTTTTTTTGAGCGTAGAAAACTTGGCTTAAGTTCTTAGGGGCCCCTATTGAAGGATGG